AATTCTATTTAAACTTGTGGGTAGAATGAACGCAAAACCATACTGGCTGTGTCACGATTGTCATCCCTCCTCTTAAGGGCGCTCCAAACCTTTCCTATTTTAGTTCATGATGTATCCCTGTCCCTTGTTTTCCTTGTTATTATTTAAAGCCTGGCACTCGTGCATACCCGGCTCTGCATTGGAAGAAGGACGCCCGGAAGCCAGCCTACAGTACCAGCAGGTCCTGGAGAGACCCGACGGCATAGGCTTCATAGGCGTCCTGACCTCTTCCGGGGCTCGGAGCGCCTGGTCCCGTTATTGTTTTATCCTCCTGGTTCCCTGTCCCTGTTCCTTTTCTGGGTCCCGTTCAGATTTTAATCTTGTCTGTCTTGGTTTGGATCTCCCGGCTCCTGGACCCTGGACTGCACCCCAGTTTCCCCTTTGGACTATCTTAGGACTTGTTCGCCTGCGCCACGCCCCCTGAGCAGCAGATCACAGCTGTCACGCCCCCCTGATTATACCATCTGCATAGGGTCCAAAATACGCACCACACGGGAGTCAGGACTGGCTCCCGTGACAAGCTGTTCCAGACGAACTCTACTCCCAAAACGTTTTGTCACTGGTGTGATGTAATACAGAGCTTGGGGTGTACAGTATATGACATGTGCTTTCCGACATGACTGTGCCACTGAACCCCCCTGCTGCTCTTTTTTTCCATGTTGATTCCAAAGTTATCAATCCAGCAATCTTTGTACATCTTCAGACAAACACATCTATATTAGGAGGCTGGATAGAGACGGGGATATCTTTAAACTGCACTTGTTCTGATTAAAAGTGGCTAGATGTAATTTTGTTAGTGCCGCAACTGTCATAATGTGGTAGGATACTATCTTTCAGAAGTTTGACAAGTTTTCTCCTTTTCCCATTTTTTGTGAGAACTGCCATTTGTTATATGTCTTCTGTATTTGCTGTAATCATATTTTTTTAATTTACTAAATTAATTAAAAATGATAAAAAATCAAGATGCTCACATATCTCAGAATTACTTAGATGCATATATTAAATGTGCAGAAGTAAGCTACACCTAAGAAGACTACAGGAAGGGTTGTTGGCTCTTTTTTTTGGTGCAGGTTAGAGCAATATAATTTTTTTGATTACTTGTCATAACCAACAGTCTCCGCATACAGAGAGGATACTGCAAACAGTCTTGGCATGTTTGAGTGGTCACTTATTTTTCATTATTCTCTCTGATCCCTTGCATCAATGGCTTCTGAAGTGCTACACTCAGAACTTCAAAATCAAGGCTCTACATAATCCAATAGATGGAAAATATTCCTTTTTAAAAGACAGTATCGTATCTTTATCGCAAGATGTCTTTCCCACCAAGTAAATCAAGTTCCTTCTGTAATCAGAAGGGTTCAAAGCTTGGAGGTTGTTTATGATTGAGAAGTGCAATGTTTTCAAGAAGATTCCACGTCTCACCAATGGAATCTACTGTATTTTACATGGAGCTTTAATTTTTTGTTTTATTGTGTATTCATCTTTTAAATTCGGTCAATGCCATATAGGATAACAAAATTGCTTTTGCATAGTTTTACATAAGTAAGTCAATAAAACATTCTCAAAAAATAAATTCCAAAGCTCAGGCTTTGCTAGTTCCTAGTTCGCTCCTAGTTCTGTGAACCTCACCCTCTTGTCAAAGAAAATACAAAACAATACTTACAAATTTATAGACAGAAAGGTACGTATAAAATTGTTTGCATTTTTTGATTAATCACTTGCCTGTCCTGTCTTGGATAATGATTATAATACACAGCTGTCACTAATTACATAAAACAATTTGTCTGCCAACATTCTCCTATGTTGATACCAAAGAGGCAGCTGGTCAATAGTACTCCTGGGAGCAAAGAAATGGCTCTGAATTAATTGCGTTGGACAAGTTCATTTAAGTCATGCTCTATTTCAATTTCACACCAGGAAAAAGGGAAAAAAGAAGATGTGGAAACTCTAAACATTCAGAAAACCTTTGAAAGTGTGTGATTTAAGACGACATTCATGCATAGAATTTTAATGGCAACTGAAGCTGGTAAAAAAGCTGGTTAAAAAGTTTGTGAAAAAATAAATTATTTTTGTGGTACTATGACAAAATAGAACTAGAGTCAAACAGGAAGCTCTTTACATGAAAAAAAATCACATTTTTTTAATTGCAGAAGCCTGTTATTTGCTAATCCCTTCTCAAGTACTTTTGCTATTGGTTACTTTGGAAGTAACCTTTCGGCATTTATATTATTCTTCAGAATGAAATATCAAATTGGAAATGAACATCTTCATTCTCGTTACTGGACTTCATTTCTTATTTTATTACCTTATTTTAAAAATGAAAATGCTTTACAATTACAAATGTATGTTTTTGTAGCCTACAGCAAAAAGAGACGGAATTGCATTGCATGTTTATTACAAAAAAAAAACTCTGACGCACACTTGAAATCTTTAGAATTTAACCGACAGTCAGTAAAGAGTTCACTTTTCCAAGTGTTCACCATAGCAACAAGCTATCTTCATTTTATCCTCATGTTGGGTTTCTCTTTTACCCTACTATGTAGGAAACAAAACTCCCTTACCAAATTATCTCCCATGGCAACACTGTAGCTCCCTAAATGCAATGTAATTGTCCCACATACTAAAGAAAAACAGGAGGATTGTTAATGTAAATGCAGCATATTACTGTACCTGTACATATAACTGTCAATCTGATAATTAGTTCTACCATGTTGTGTGTAAATGTTTGATAATATTATTGATGATGTTCAATAATAATGATAATATTTTGATAATATTATTGTTTGACTTTCAAAGAAGCTATTGGATAATTTGAATGACCTCTATACATATTTTCTCAGGCACAGAACTGTGCATTTGATTGATAAGGTACCTGGAGTGTCACTGCTATATGAACAGATACAGGGCATTTTGTATTCTCTTTGAAAATCTGGAATTCAGGAATAATTTTTTCAGTGCTCTGTGGAGGTTACGAATAAAAGATTGTCAATGGTTGTCTAATCAAGATGTACAGTTTTAAAGTTAAATGACTGGCATTTATCATTCTTGAAACATAGGCATCTGTGTGTTAAAGAACTGAGATCATAAATGATTTTATTTTTCTTTAAAGATACTGTACAAGATATGAAACAAAGAACTCTTACATTTAATGTTTGCACATCTTGATGACAGACATTTTTATGAGCAATATTTATCAGATATTCTGGATCAACAACCCTGATGCAACTTTTTTAGCTTTTTTTGAGAAGCCTTGTTAAGGACGAGGAATGCTCGCATAATGTGCTGTAGATGAACGTCCTAGTTAATGGAAACTGTAATCTTGTTTGCACCAGCAGTTGCCTGAGCAAGTCAGATTTCTGCTCTTGGCAGGGCTCTGTGTTGGACCCATCTGGTTCCCATCTTCTGCACTCTCTTCTTGCTAGTTGTCTTCTGCATTTATCACAGTCTTCACACATATAGCAGCACATAGGCCTGATTGCTCTGCAGTTCATCTACTGTCTCCATGATCACTGCTCCCCAGTTCCTTTCTCAGTGTGCCTTATCTTTCTATTAAGATAACCCCATGATGTAACTGCATAGGCGCCTGAACCCCTGTCTGTTACTTCTGCATGTGATGTCTTCTGTTACATAGCCTCCCTTTTTGAACATTTAATTGCACCTTTTCAGTAGCAGTTCTTAATTAAGGAAATTACTATGGCTGTTCTAGATCCTGAGTCATGGTAATAAGCAACAAAATACAAATATGAATCTGAAAATTAGTGTAAGGGAAGAGTGGTGTGAAAGATCATTAGAAGAATAAGAACAGTATGTTAACAAAAAATAAAATGTCTCACAGCTCATTTTCATTGTGAATACCAGCTTCCTCATTTGTGATGTCTCATTATACACATGCTTAGTCATTCTGCATCTATTTTTCATAAATAAACGGCTAAATGGTTTATTATAACGTACAGTAGATTGCTCTATGTCCAAACACATTTTCACCTTTCATTACAAGATGTTATTACTGCCCAGGCTACTTTTTTCCATGCTTTTTATTTAAAGATAAAACAGAAAAGAAAAACAATGCCATTTCCAACAGAAACAAATCCATTTAATATTGTGTAAATAATCACAGTATAGGGTGACCTGTCTCTATAATCAACTTTAAATAACACCCTAATAATAAAGACTAGATTGATTATGTAGTGTACAAACTTATGTTTCTTCTGAAAATATAGAGGTTTTTGTTTTGACAGAATTTCTATAATTATAAAATGATATTAAACATTATAAATATTTTATTTACGCCCTATCTCTGGAACTTTTAAGGTGTTAATTTCAAGTAATTATCTATTATTTGTACCATAGTGCTCCAAAGTGATCCAACTAGTTGTCTGTATTGGGTAAACGCTGGAAAACATCAGCTTAAGCATTATATACGACAAGAACTCATCTCTTTTACATTGATTTTGAGTGTAATGTTTTAACTGCCTCTATTCATTAGCATTCACTTTGTGTGTCCTTTCAAATCAGCTTCTAATATCAGTATTAGATTTGAATAAGATTACCTCTTAGGTACAAATTATCACTAGCATGCTCATGCTTTTAGTCAACTAGAAAATACCCTTCCCATGACAGATCTAACATAGTGAAGCCTGAAGAAGGTCAGGTGATGCAGTTAGCACAAAGGTCTTTCACATTTGGAGCCCAACCATCTCACCGAGGAACTTGATCTTGAGCATATCTGAAAGGTGCTGTAGCACTCGAGTTCCAAGAGCATAATGGTTGAAATGACTTTTCAAATCCATCAGGGCGGAAGTGAAGGAGCACTTTGGCTGAGATGCCATGCCAAGCCGCCTGCCCGTACCAGTGCCAGTCTTGTTTGTGATTTATTCAAAATTCTTCTGGCGTGATTTTGGGCAGCAGAAAGGCACAGGTGCAGAATTAGCTGGGTTAACACAGTTAGTGCCGCTTGCTGATTATCATCCTTTCCTCAGACCTTTATTTATTTATTTTCTTGTTGGGTAATTTAGTAAAAGCCCCATCATTTTAATATTGCCACTTAAATGCCATTAAAGAGCCATTAAGTCTGGCAATGCCATATGTTTGTGATGTGTGTCCACAGAGCTCTCTGCGTGGGATCCACTTCTCTCCTCTGCAGTTTACCAGTGGGTGTGAATGGTGGCGGCGTTTCTCCCATCACACTTAACCACTTTTGCAAAGGCCTTCCGTTGTGCACTGCAAAAGTGAAAAGTAAACCATGTTTTTAATTCTGTTTTCTTTTTTCTTCTAAGCAATTACCAGGAAGCTTTAGTTGATTATGTTTGAAAAACGTTAATATAAAGTCCATTCAACATACTGCCTTATTAAAAAGAATAAAATGCATGAAGAAAACATAATTTCTAGATGATGTTTAATATACAGCATCCAATTAAGAAGTAGGTGAAGGTTTTAACTTGAAGTTGTAGTACTTGGGAAACTTTGGTACAGTATGGATTTGTTAATTTTTGAGAAATTTACATTTCATTACCAGTTGGATTCAACATCCACTGGATTTAATTATATGCCTTTTTAAGCACACACTGTTCATTTTTTTCCATGAGAATAGTTATCTGAAGAATCTGTCCCCGTAGAAACTGAAATTAATTTGAGCAATATTACACTAAACAGAGTCACATTTACTGGTATTCAACTTGCTATATTTTTTCCTCGTCTATTTTCTCGTTCTTTTGTTCAGTCTCCCAAAGAAATGTCAATTCATGAATTGCCTTATCAAAAGACTCTACATAAAACACATTAATCTCAACTATATAACTTAAAACACATTGATCAGTGGATGAAGCATAATATTGTCACTGTGGCCAAAGCCTGCATCCTGTTAGATCTAAATGCAATCGCGGCAATAATTCCACTTGTGGCTGTAATTATATGAGGATGAAAAAAAACATGAGCTTGACAGACTTTCATACAGTTCTCTGATGTTGCTCTTTACATTCAGCATAACCTCAACATACAGTAAATGACCCAGCGAGAAGACTGGAATAGTGGTTTAAAAAGTTTATGAAACATTTACCATGTTCTAGTTTTTTTTGGAGGCTTTATGGAGGACCAGCACTTGATTTGATAGAGGTTCTTAATATTGTGGTTAGGAGGTGTAAGCGCACATCTATAATGCCAGCCTATTTTTGCCTTATGGTCAAGCGATGTGCATTTATGATCATGAGATTGATTAAATGATCAAATATAACAGGCATTTTAGTTTTGATCACATAAGTGTTCATTACACTAAAAATATGTTGTTCTGTGTTTAACCCAATGATTCCATTGTGTGTTGAGACATTAATTTTAAGGAGTTTTTATGCTATTAAAGTATTTGTACTGTATATCCTTTTGAAATAATAAGTAATCAAAGTTTATGACCACACTGAGGTCATTGAGCTCTGTGTAATCATGCTTTGCTGCAACCATGCCAAATTCTCGCCATCCCTTGGCATTTTCTGGCTTCCCTCTTTCTTCATCATGTGAAATGCATGCTCAATTGCATTTACAGTACATATGGAGAGTGACATAGCCAGTCTAGGATTTTCCACTTTTTCTGCGTCTGCTGCATGTTTTTGGTGAAGTGCCACCCAATACATATGGAAGCAAATTCTTTAACATAAGCAGACAATATGTTTCTGTAAAGATCATGATTCATTCTACAGCTGTCCTCGTAACTTACATCAATAAAAGCAAGTGAGCCAGTTCCAGATGCAGCCATGCATGCCCAGGCCATGACATTACCTCCACCAGCCTCACAGATGATGTGGTGTTCCTTAAAACACCTACCAGTTATTTGCTTTCTATGCACTTCCCCATCACTTTAACAAAGAGATGTTGTGGTCTCATCTGTCCAAGAAACGTTTGTGCTCAAACTCTCCTAATTCACCTTTGTGCAGTATTCTGTGGAAAATCCAATCTAACATTTCTCATCAGCACTAAGAACAGAGGTTTACATCTTGGAGCCTTTGCAATTTTGCTGTCACAGTCTTCTGAAAAACAGATTTTGATACTTTCACCCCTGTACTCTGGAGGTTCTTGGCGTTTTCTCCAACAGTTATTTGAGGGTTTCCTTGACAGCTCACCTGTACATGTTTTTCTTGGCTGACCCAGTCTTGGCTGATTGGTAATTATACCTGCAGTTTCTTTCCACTTCAGTATATTTCAAATTGTTGGCTTTGGTATGCTCAATTTCTGTACTATTGTTCTATTTTTCTAAGCTTAAAAATTGCCTGTTTATACATAAAAACATTGGGTTTTATTTTGACTTTTTAACTTCAGTCTGAAGACTGAAATCAAAGAAACACAGACTGAATAAGTGTTCACAGCTCTATTGTGCACCTCATTATTTACAGTAACAACAAATACCTTACCACCTGTCAGTCAACTATCCCAAATTGCTCCTTCAGAATTGAAAGGTTCAGCATTATCAGTTTGTTTAATTTACTTAAAAGAGTAGAACTGTGGTAGGAGTTAGGTACTTATCAATCATGTTTTTTTTTCATGAGAAAAAATGTGAAAAGCCCAGTTTAGATTTCATTGCCTCAATACATGTACATGTGAAGGGCTCTGTATATCTGGGTATACATGTCCTAGAAATTTGTAATAGTAAACATATACATAAATAATTACTAATTTCATTTATCAACACTTTCATAAATATCCACTGGCTCCACATCTTGTAGAATCAGAAAACAGGCAACAGCATAATGCTTGAGTTTTAATTTTCACCACCCACCCAAGGAAGGGCAAGGAATATTGTGGTTTGGTAAAATGGACTGTCAGTAAAGTATCTGTAACTTTGTGGATTCCATTTTATCCAGACTTCACCCTTCCAAATATGCAAACACACACTAATGTAACCCAGGTGAATTAATGCACTTTAAGCATTACAGGTGCGTATAATTATAAAAAAACATACAGAGGAGCAGGGGCAGAGGAGGAAAAATGCAGGTGTGGGTGGGATGATGACATTGCTGTTTAGTCTCATTGCTGTATCTCCTCCTACATTAGTTTAGCATGTGTGGCCCTGAGAAGATTTGAGTTTCAGCCAGGAGTCGACCAGGCAGGAATGGGCTCAGATTCATGGTGGTTTTAGGATGGTTTAAAGCTAACATTGCCTTTTTACTGAGCTGAAAATTCTCCTTGCGAACAAAGAGAGAAAAAAAAACTCCACGCAGATAGCACCCCAGAAATTGAACCCAGACCCTAGTGCTGCAAGGCAGCGATGCTAACAACTGTACCACCATGCTGCCCTATTTGATTAATGCATGGAAATATCTATCTTCCCCTGGAAGTTGTGAAATACATTCTGATATTAATGTTTAAAAATTACTGATTGGCAATGATTGCAGGTACTGTAGGTCATCAGATTTTTCAGAGTTTGGGAGCATATGTTGCTGAATATATGGCATTGGAGAAATAAATATACTTGCTTTAGTAAGAACTATTACTAAGCAATCTGTTTTGTTTTTGTTTTATTGGGTGCCATGGACCAGTAGCAATGCAACCTCTCAGAATAACTACAGGACTGCCAGTATGATTACATTTTCATTAACGAATATTTTCCTTATATCAGAGCAGTCATACTAGCTAATCTTCTGAGTGGTAAAAGCTTTCACTTAACGCTAAACTGTTTTCTGATCTGTCCCCCACTGTGAACAGTCTGCTTCCATTTGTTTTTGTTGGTTTTTTTCCATATGACAATTGAGCTCAAAACCATAGTGTGAAAATCTCCATTTTGCTGGTTTAAAGTAACATCTGGTAGAATTAGGTCTTACACATTCAGGAACAATACGATGTGCAAAATACTGATGAGGTTGAACAGGTCACATTGTCTGTGTAAACAAGTATTCTCTGTCAAACTGGATGAAATGTGAATAAGCAGGACTTTTTTGTGTACTTAAGTGTAGTAAGTTACTGAAGGAATGTGTAAGTTATAATGTAACATATCCAATTTATTTGCCTTTTTTGGCACAATATAAGTCTTTGTGAAATGTACAGTATACCTACTCAAAAATATGCATATTAAGAAAATTGATCACCTCTTTAACAAATGCAAATGAGGATACCTAAAAAACAACAATCACCTTTTCTGATTTCAGCTTTTCATTAATAACTTTGCACCTGCTGCTAAGATTGAAAACAACCTTACACTTTTCTTTTTTTTAAGGTTATTTGGGTGTCATCACCCTTAACAATGACAGCACTGTAGCTGAATTTAAGGACAAAATAACAACAGCAGCACATAGACTGCAAGAGCACAATGCATCTGACCAAAACTGTTTTGTTACATTGAAAAAAATACTTCTACTTTTTTGTGTTGCTCTAAACATTCCCTTTCATTGCTCACCTGTAAATGTACAGTATGTATGCCTTTGTAGGTATAGAGTATATGGAGACAGAATTTGTTTTTTAGTCTGTCTTCAGTACTGAAATTGGAACTACAACCCGACAAAACAAAAAAAAACAGCTTTTGTAATATTAAGAAAAGGTGCAAAACTTCAGTACACTGTGACAAAACAGTTTCAGAGTGTTCTGAAGCTGTTTAGGCACAAGACCAGCAATGTTACCTTCGCTCTAGACACAGTGTGGAATTAAAGTGAATCCCAAACACTAACAGGCCACTCTGTCAAGACTCCTACATGAATTATATATAATTCAATGGAGCCTCCGATTTAAAGACCTGATGTTAGTGCAAAACATGACATGGGGGGTGCTATCCTGTGGAGGCTGATGCCAAGCCTTCATTACCAGAAATGGTGCCTTTATTTTCTCAAAGAAGCACATCTTTTACAGATCACGATCCAAACATTTTCCTCAGTCCCAAATTTTCAGTTCTGGTCAGAGTACATAGCATCAATATAGTTCCCAAATTAACAGTATATTCATTTCTTAAATTAGATTTTACGTGTATTAAATGTAAAATATGAATCCACTGATATGACATATAAGGTGTAATAATTTGATGTTGAAATTTAATGTTCATGCTTGAGAGAAGTACAGTTGGATAGATTCTTTTGCAAATGGCTATGCTGAAGTAAAACGTACAGACTGCCCAGATTAGTATGCCAAAAATGAATCTGCACAGCCCCAACAGATTTTCTGCAGCTAAGGAACTAATCCTTCAATCTCCAAAAATTTCTGAGTAGTTATAAAGGTTATTGTAAATGTAGCACAGGTGCAGAAGTTAAGCTATA